AACAGAATAAAATTCTGATACAAGCTGCAACATAGATGAATCTTAAAGACATTATACTAAGTTAAATTAAATAAGCCAGACACAAAAGGACAAATATTGTATGATTCCACCTACACAGGTGATATAGTAGGCAGTTACACAGACACGGGCTGAGCAGGAACCACAGGCCAGGTACAGAAGGTAACCCGGGCTGCAAGCCCCAGCTGCCTAGCAATGGACAACTATAGGGTAGGACTTCGCCCCCAGGATGACATTTCTTCCCCTAGCATAGCACTGATCTTGTGGTTTTAGACCCCCTTGACCTTTCACATCACTGGCCATGTGGTTCAGACCTTTCCACTGACCCTTCCTCCCCAGGGGTGTCGCTAGTCATGCGGAAGGCTCCCCTCAGTGGATGAACAAGGGGGCTGGAGAACAGTTTCATGTGACTCCCACACAAGCCTTTGCGTGTCCACTCCCTGAAGCGCTAAGTCCTCAGGACAATGCGGGTCTGATCACACCAAGTCATCTTAGGAAGAAAGCCACACGCCTGTTGACCACAGAGACAGATATCTGGTCAAACTAGAGATAACATCTAGACCTCAGTTGTGTTTCAGCTCCCGGCCCAGAAAAGCAGCAAAACCAGTCGTATCAGAATCGGCTGCAATGACCACTGACCCCCTGCCCTAGTGAGGAGCAATCAGTAGAGACCACGACCCTGAAAGGACACACCTGGAAAGCTGATGAACATTCTTCTGAGATCCTCCTCTGAAATTCCTGCCTTTAAAAATCTGTAAGGCAAGGGGCCCAGCTCGCTCGCTCTCTCTCTCTCTCTCTCACTCTCGCTCAGCCAACGGTACTACAGGAATCACTGCCTACCAGTCAGTCTCCTAAGGAATTCACAGCTAGAGAGGCAGCTATTTATTAGAAAAAGGACACAGTATGTTCACCAGAGCTCAGAGGTTCAGAGAATTCTCTCCAAAAAAAGACTCAGAAACAAGTCCTCCACAGATTTGACTTTGGAATGTAATTTCAGGGGAAATGGCCCATTCCTAAAATACTTTCTCCACATAATATTGCCTAAGGCCAATATCTGAGGGGGAAAAGTTAACATAGGACACAGTCATTCACTTCTAATTCTGTGTAAGATTTAAACTGTGAATTGTCTTGGGAGAAACTACCCTTAAATTCCAGCTGAGATACAGAAATATCATACCTACAGATATTAGGTCACTGTTAGATAGCATATTTAGAGAGGGAAGAGAAGACTACAGCACTGAAAAGTACAAAGAAAAAAATGTGTCAAGTCAGGGTTAAAATGTGAAAGCAAAAGGGAAACAATCATTACGCCACAGTAAAAGTTTAGTCTAAAATATATTATGCAGTACTAGCCCTGGCTGATGTGGCTCAGTGGATGGAGTGGCAGCCTGCAAACTGAGAGGTTCCTGGTTCGATTCCCAGTCAGGGCACATGCTTGGGTTGCAGGCCAGTCCCCAGGGCACACATTCGAGAGGCAACCAATTGATATTTCTCTCACACAGTGATGTTTTTCCCCCTTTCTTTCTCCCTCCCTTCCCCTCTCTCTAAAAGTAAATAAATAAAATGTTTTTAAAAAATAAAGATTTAAAAACCTTTAAAAAATATTATGCTGCACTAGATAGTTCCGTCAAAGCCTCAGCCAATGGTATTTTGTGCCCACACCCCCTTCTACAGCTAACTAGCAAGCACTGGGCTCCTTTGCCTGAGGCCTTGGACAAAAAGAGGCCCTTAAGAAAACCAGGATGTTGAAGGTAGGAGCAAAAAAGGAAAGAATTCACAAAAAGAAACAATGACATCAGATTAGGGGATTGACAAACCAGAGTGATAAAGAAGCAGGTAGATAGGTAAACAGCGGCTATGAGTAAAAGAAAAAAGACAGATACAGCAGGGAAGAAAACTAAGCATGTCAACAACGCAGAGGCAGCACGCGCAGCTCCCGAAAAAGAAAGACAGTCCATCAGAGCAGTGATCCTTGGGGTCAGAGAGATCCTTGTTTGTGACACCTTTCTAGATCTTTCACCTGCATCTTCTTCCTCTACGTGGGAATATACACTAAAACACAAATAAATGACTAAAAGGGTGTACGTCCATTTTTCCCACATTAAAAAGCATGTCTAAAACTCCTGATCATTGAAAGTCTGAGGTAGAAGAGTCCTTGGAATCAGACCAAGTCATGATTTCAGAGAGGGGGAAACAGAGGACCACAAAGGGACCTAAGGTCGCACAGATAATGACAGCACTGGGACAACACCACGGTCTTCTATTTCCATAGTCATTATCCACTGTCCTATATACTACACTAAATAACACCAACCTAGAAACATTTTTTCCTTTTTTTTTTAAGATTTTATTTATTTATTTTTAGAGAGGGAAGGGAGGGAGAAAGAGAGAGAGAGAGAAAAATCAATGTGCGGTTGCTGGAGGCCGTGGCCTACAACCCAGGCATGTACCCTGAATGGGAATCGAACCTGCAATGCTTTGGTTCGCAGCCCGTGCTCAATCCACTGAGCTACACCAGCCAGGGCTAGAAACGTTTTTTTCAAAACAAGTATTTTTGCCACACGTTCTTAAGTGAATCAGAAATCCTTATGTACATATGACATCTCCCGCAATTTAAATAAATTTTCCACTTATTTATTCTCTGGCTCTCTGTTATCATTATGAAATACATTCATTAGAGTTCTCCTTTTCTTCTGAAAAAAAATTTTAACTACATCTGTCACTAAAGACATCACACAGAACATTCATCAGGCCCCACTGGCCTTGCCCCACTCACTGTACATTCAAACACAGCGTCGCTCAGGACGCGTTACTTCACACACTGCACAGTAATGTTTGAATTCAACACAGTACAAAACAGACACTTTAAATGAAAAACAATCTTTCAGCAAAGGACCATAATGAATTCTTTGAAGAAAAACTCATCACCAACATTGGTGAAATTCAGGAGAAAACCGTGCAAGAACTGAAACTAAAAAAGCGCTAAAGTGAAATGTTTCAAGTCATCTCCTCATAAAATTTATTACAACGTATCCTGAGAGCAAAAACTGCAACTTGGAAACACTAGTCCCAAAGGGAGGAAATTACTAACCAGTGGGAAAGAGTAGAAAGAGGCAGGAAAATGTTAATTCGTGGTGGAAAGATGGTGAGGCCCCTGGCAGGACGGCAGAACACCTAGATGCTTTCGCTGCCAAAACACTGCAGCTCCTCTGAGGATCCCGCAAAGGACAGAGCTGGGGGGAGGGAGGTGAGCGAGTCCTGCAGCATCATCAATTTCCTAAGAACATCTTAGAACAGCAGAAAATACGAAGACAGCATATTTTTCAAAAATTCTTTGCTTAGGTTTAAGGTGAACGAGGCATAAAGTGAAGAACGCACAACCTAGGGTGATGATGATTAAACACAAAACTCACAAATCCAGAGGCTATTTCAGTCTAGCTAATGAAAGCATCCTGTGCAAAAGATTTGTCGTCAAATAAAGAATGAGTGACAGTGTAAGCACACTTCTTGTTATTCTAACAATTTAAAGGTGTGTACTCTATCTCTATCTGATGGATGAGAAAACTCCGATTTATAGCCTGTTTAACCAAGGTCACAAAGCCAGGCAGTGATTTGATCAGGATGGGAACCCAGGCTAGCTGAGCCACACTTAACACTGCTCGCTCGCAAGAGTATAAGCCGTCTGAGTTCATACTCACCCAGGAGCTGAGTTTTGAGGAGGGAGTAAAGAGGGGGCATTTGACCCTCTCAAAGTTGTGGACAAAAAAGGGGCCACAGACTAAACCTGCCAAGCTCAGGGAAGGCCTGCAGGGTGGGCCTTACAAACTCTGGGACCTAAAGTAACCTCACAGGATGGCCTGAAATTAAATTTCCTAACTAAAATCGAGTCGTGGCAGGTAGTCCTATCCTACATTTGTATCTTCCCTGGCAAAGGGCCTTACCTTTACTGAGCCTGTCTATTGTCTTTCTGCATCTACAATAACACACCTTTGAAACTCAGGAGAACTTCCTTTTTCCAGGCCCTTCAGGGCACAATCTCTGCACCAGATCATAACCTCTCGTTGTGTTGTTACCTGTTAACTATCCTATACCCACCAATGTGAAAGAAGTATGTGTCTGCCCTGGCCGGGTAGCTCAGTTGGTTAGAGCTTCATCCCAACACACCGAGGGTGCAGGTTCAATCCTGGGTCAGGGCACAAACAAGAATCAACCAATGAATGCACAGATAAGTGGAACAACCCAGAGATGTTTCTCTCTCCCTCTCTCTTAAAAAATTTTAAAAATAAATAAATAAATAATATTTTAAAGTATGAAGTACGTCTATCCGTTTTACTTTTTATCCAGTCTTAAGAGATTTCCCTGCTTTGCTTTCTCCCACCTTCCTAATCTATCACCAGTGGATTTCATGTAACCCCCTCACGTCTTCCCCTGTGATTCTGGTGTATAAAATAAGTGGTAAAACTGCCATCTCCTGGAGCATTTTCTCAATCCATTGAGATGTTGCTCCCCCACAATTATCATCAGTTTGGCTCAAATAAACTAAAAAAATTCTTACAGGTTTGGACGTTTCTCACCTCCACAAAGTAGAACAGAGCTGAGCTGTCAAAAACATAAGAAGTGAGTGCGGCTGCAGCTCAGCAGCGGCACCCCGTCCCTGCAGCTCAGGTCCCTCGGTCCCGCGCCAGCGGCCAGGACTCAGCCCGCTCGCTCTAACCACGCAGCCAGGGCCCCGCTCAGTTCTCCGCCTGCAGCCCACCGGCCCGGCGGTCAGACCCAGAGGGGCAGGGACAAAGAGCCGCCCGGCCGGCCGGTCCCCAAGTCGGGTCTCTGCGGACGCCCGACAGAGGCAGTCCGGGTGCAGCGGGGGGGCGGGGCGCGGCGGAGGAGAGGTGGCCGCCGGCCGGAGAGGTTCCGCGAGTGGCTTGGGCGGGCAGGCTGGGACGTCCCCAGCCCCCGCTCCTCTGGTGCCTTCTCCCCATTACCTTGTCTGTGGGGTTCTCGTCACTGTCGCCGCCGCCAAGGGGCTCTGGGGCTGTGCAGCGAAAGCCGATTAGAGGGCGTCAGCTGCGTCCCGTGCTGGTGAAGCAGCCTCTAGGTTGAGATGGAGAAAAGACGCGACTGGGAATCAGGAACGAGGTTGGTTTCCAGCTGGTGGAGATCCTACACTTCTCGCCGCTCACACTCCGCTTCCGCTCCGCCTCCCGGCTCGGCCGGGCCCTTCCCCCACCTCGGAGGCGACTGGGCCGCGGCGCGTGGCATTGTAGGAGTTGTAGTCCCAGAATGCGGAAGAGGCGGCACGTGCTTCAAGCCCGCCGGCCCCTACCTCGGGTCTGGACGACGCCGTTGCGCGGCAACCAGAGGGGCGGCCCGCTTCTCCTTCCGGATTGGAAGAGGCGTTTACCCGAGGGTGCTTTGTCGGCCTTATTGGCTGCCGGCGCTGAAAGTGGAGTGTGTGACGCTTACTTTACTCCTGACTCTCCAGCAGGGAACCAATAATTCCAAAACTGTTGGCTTCAGGCAAAAGGATTTAGTGATTAAAAGTGTGCTCTAGACAAGAATGTCCGTTATTGCCCCTGAATGTCCTAAGCCAGCAGAGTAAGGCAAGAAAAATAAAAGATTGACTAGGAAAAAACAAAATTGTTATTCTTCACAGATGATATAATTACGTTGCACATTCAAAGAATGTACAGATAAATTGTTATAATAACATAATTTAATAAGAATAATAAGTCGTATTTTTAAAGAATCAATATTTCTATATTCCAGGAGATACCATTTACAATACTTAAAACAAATATCAAATAACTGGGAATAAATCAAAGAAATGCAAGACCTGTATGAAGAAGAACATATTTTTAAAAACATTGAAAAGACCTAAACAAATAAGAGAACGACAGGTTCACAGACTGGAAGATTCAATACTGAAAGATGTCAAGTCTCTCCAAATTTATCTGTAGATCCAGTGCAGTTCAAGATAAAATCTCAATAGGTTTGTGTGTGTGTGACAGAAAAACTTAGCAGGCCAATTTAAAACGGAATGGAAGAGCAGACAGACATTCGTGAGGAAGAGTAGCAAAAGAAAGTGAAAGAAGAGGATTAGGAGCAAGGGGAGTGGGAAGACTTTGCTACCAGACATCAAGCTTTGTTATAAAGCCCTAATAATGAAGGCAGTGTGTTAGTAAATCAAGGGGAGACAGATACACCAACAGAACACAATGAAGAGCCCAGAAAGTCTCACCCATACATGAAAATGTGACTTATGTTGTGGTGGTGGTGATGCACAGAAATGCCTGGTGCAAGGACACGAGAGTAGGGGACAGACTTTTCAACTAATCCAAAAGGCACTATATAATCGAAACACTGATAAAATATGGCCACATTACATTTAAGACTTAGTTTTATCACAGGACACCATTAAAAGAGTTAGTCTCCGAGTCAAATAAGAAATTTACAGCAAATTAACATCATCAAAATGTTGCATTTTGCATCATCAAAATGCAAAATGTTGCATACTACCCAAAGCAATATACAGATTCCACACAATCCCTATTAAAATACCAATGACATATTTCACAGATATAGAACAAACATTTCAAAAATTTATATGGAACCATAAATGACCCTGAATAGCCCACAGTAATTTTGACAAAGAAGAACACAGTAGGAGGGATCACAATACTTGATAGCAAACTATATTACAAGGCCACTGTTATCAAAACAGTCTGGTACTGGCATAAGAACAGACACGTAAATCAATGGAACAGAATAGAGAGCCCAGAAATAAACCCACGTCTCATGGTCAATTAATACTCGACAAATGGGGCAGAAGAATAAAATGGAGTAAAAATAACCTCTTCAACAAATGGTGCTGGGAGAGCTGGACAGCTACAAGCAAGAAAATGAAACTCGACCACCAAATTACACCATACACACACAAAAAAAAAACTCAAGATGGATAAAAGACTTAAATATAAAAGTCCTAGAGGAGAATATAGGCAGGAAACCCTCAGACATTCCATGCCGCAATATTTTTACTTATATGTCCCCTAGAGCAAGGGACACAAAGGAAAGATTAAAAAAAATGGTACTTCCTCAACATAAAAAGCTTCTGCACAGCTAAAGGAAATATCAGCAAAATGAAAAGGTAACCAATAGTGTCGGAAAATATTTTTGCCAATGATACCTCAGACAAGGGTTTGATCTCCAAAATACATAAAGAACTCAAGATTCCACACCAGAAAAACAATCAATACAATTAAAAAATGGTCAAAGGTCCTGAACAGACACTTCTCCAAAGAGGACATACAGAAGACCCAAAGACATATGAAAGGATGCTCAGCATCACTAGCCATCAGAGAGAGGCAAATTAAAACCACAATGAAATACCACTTTACACCAGTCAGAATGGCCATCATAAACAAATTAATAAACAACAAATGCTGGTGAGCTTGTGGAGAGAAGGGAACCCTAGTTACATTGTTAATGGGAATGCAGACTGGTGCAGCCACTGTGGAAAACAGTATAAAATTTCCTCAAAAAACTAAAAATGGAACTGCCTTTTGACCTGGCAATTCCACTACTGGGAATATACCCTAAGAATCCTGAAACACTAATTCAAAAGAATCTATGCACCCCAATGCTCATGGCAGAACAATTTACAATAGCCAAGTACTGGAAGCAACCTAAGTGCCCATCAGTAAATGAGTGGATCGAAAAACTATAGTACAGCCCTGGCTGGTGTGGCTTAGTGGATTAAGTGCCAGCCTGCAAAACAAAAGATTGCCTGTTTGATTCCCAGTCAGGGCATATGCCTGAGTTGTGGGCCAGGTCCCTAGTAGGGGGCACATGAGAAGCAAACTCCCTCTCTTCCTCCCTCCCTTCCCCTCTCTCTATAAATTAAAAAACAAAAAACAACTATGGTACATTTACACAATGGAATACCACACAGCAGAAAGAAAGAAGGAGCTAGTCCCTTTCACAGCATGGATAGAACTGGAGAGCATTACATTATGCAAAATAAGCCAGGTAGTGAACGACAAATATCATATGATCTCACCTTTAAGTCTCACCTTTAAGTGGGACCTAATCAACAAAACAAACAAGCAAGCTCCAGAACTTCTCCAAGCTTCAGTTTCCCTATTAGTAAAATGGCAGGAATAAGAGTAACTAGATGTGCCCTGGCTGGTGTAGCTCAGTGGATTAAGCTTGGGCCTGCAAATCAAAGGGTTGCTGGTTCGATTCCTGGTTCAGTTGCCTCAGGGCACATGCCTGGGATTCAGGCCAGGTCTCTAGTGAGGGGCACGTGAGAAGCAACCACACACTGATGTTTTTCTCCTAAAAAAAAAAAAGTAACTAGATGTTACGAGAAATAAAATAGTGTAAAAAGCACATTGCATAGTGCTTGGCACATGGCTAGCCCGCACATGGGAAGCCCTCAGGAAACGGTCCTTGTTATCACTTTGACCACATTGAAGCACTGAGGCAAGTAAAATCATGAGATAGTCCCCTTTAGTAGGGGTCAGGGGTAAGAAGATAAATATAGGAACAGCCACTGCAGAATGTGATTATCTGCCATATACAAAAAGAAAAAAAAACACTTCTATCTGCATGGGGCAAGTCTGCATGGTAATAGAGCACAAAGGAAAAGAGACAATACAGGTGAAGTGCACAAAACATGAGAAAATCTGGGCGCAGATTACCTGCACCGTCTGCATATGGCACTAGCCACATGTACTTTTTTTTGATGACTTGCAGTGCGGTCAGTCTGCATTGAGATGTACTGTGAGCATAACATACACACCAAGTTTTGAAGATTTAGTATAAAAACAAACTTAAACTATTTCTAATAGTGTTAAAATAATGAGTGTATGTTAACATAATAATTTGATATATTTACTCAAATAAAATACATTATTAAAATGAATCTATTTTTTTATCGTATATGTGGCTGGCAGTATATTTCTATTGGACAATGTTCCTAGAGATACATGGGAAAAAAGAAAGGTAGGACAGAGCGAGGGCCTTAAATGCCAAACTAAGGAAATTTTACTTAATTTAAGAAGTCAAACAAATTTTTCAGAGGAGGAGATGGTTATGCATTTGTCTACGAGACTTTCATTATTTGATATTTATTGATGTTAAACCAATCTCATCTATTAGATTGTAAACACTTCACTATCCACGGTTTCCAGAGACTGGGAGAAGGTATTCAGTAACATTCCTACTGATGTCATACACAAATCTCCAGACACCATGTATATGCAATAAATGCTGCTTGACCCTGATAGAGTTCAGCACTATATTCCACTGCACTTTACAACTTAGAAATCATTTTCTTCGATGTAGTGGGATGTATTGCCATACTCCTCCCACACATCTGTCAAAGAAACACTGAGAATCAAAAGAATGTAATCAGCTGCTCAAATAAATTTAATCAGAGTTGAAGGCATTCCTTCCTGGAACCAAAGACAAAAACCACAGCCGACTAGTACCAGGCCCCAGATAGGAAAATGCCTTGTCAGCAACGTAATAGGGGAGAAGGTAGTCACTAAAAGACAAGGCCAGTGATATCATGCTAATAAGAAAAAGGCTGTTCTGGAGGTTAATCATGTTTGTCTCTGAGGAAAAATGTTAAAAAACTGAACAGGAGAAGGAATTGGAATGAGTAGCTACTTCTGTTCTTATTTATGGGACAGAACATGACACTGCTCAGGCCTGGCGTATTGCTCAGATTTGCTGAGACCATGAGAAGAACTCTGGACTAAACTTATGGGGAAATGATGACTCTTTCCCCTGGGGAGAGGTGGCTCTTCCCTGAGGGTGTGAAATGGGAAGAACAGGAAGGGGAAGGGACAGGTCAGAAATGCAGGGAGCCTCCCTGCAGGTCGTAACTGTTGGGAAGGCCCAAAGCTCAAAGTGTCTCCCATTGGGCTTTGAGGAGTACATTCACGTTAACGAAATCTTCGTTCCTCCTGCGTTGTGATGCATTTCTGTGATTTGCCTGACCCTTCACGGACAGTTGTGTCTTTCCACATAGTGGTCCAAAGATTGGGTCTGGGGGAGTCTGACAGGTTAGGGAGGAGGGTCCCTGACCTGCCCCTCTTCTTTGGGGTTTGGGAATGTAAGAGGAGCTTGCTAACCACAGGAAAAGCTCTTAAGCAAAAGTATAATAAAGAATTTGTGCCAAGTGAAGTATTTTAATTCTAGACCTTCCTCAT